CCCTAGAGCACGGATCTGCGAAGTGGCACATCTCTTTCGATGTCTGAAGGAGAGCATTGCCTCGCTCGAGTTGTTTTATCAGAGAGTCACACCGAGCCAAACTTCAATGCTGAGTGCTCGCCTTCCTGATACCACTTCACTACCATTGGATGGACATCAGCTCGTTTTTCAAGACATTCTTGTCCAAGGCGATGACGGACGGACGAGGCCTCTCTTCCGAACAGAGTTCGATTCCAAACGATGTGTCGTGAAATTCAGTCACACGTATGGCGTCGAGGCACACGAACTGCTTGCGAAGGCAGGACTTGCTCCCGCCTTATTTCACGCCAAGCAGGTCTATCATGACAGCTTCTGGCTTATTGTGATGGATCATGTTGATGGAAAGCCGTTTGTTGAAGTGCCGTCGGAAGGGAAAGACTCGGTTCTGAACGATCTCAGTCGAGCTGTTCAACACCTAGCCGCCTCTGGCCTCGTTCATGGAGATCTGAGGGAACTGAACATTATGTGCGTCAAGGAGGACAAGACTTGGCGCGCAAGATTGGTCGATTTCGAATGGTCAGGAGGAGCAGGGAAGGCCCGATACCCCGTTTCTCTCAACGATACAGGAGAGATTGGATGGCATAGCTCTGTCAAGCGAGACGGGTTCCTGGAACGGGCACACGATGAACACATGTTGAAGCGGCTGATGAGTGGCAGATGAGCTACGATACGGAGCAGACTGGCCAAGCCGAGCACTGGAAAGGCCCCATATTCTAAATTGGGATAGCACCATCATAGTGTGCGAATTAGTCGGTGGGTGGAATAATTTTGACGAGAGCAGTGAGCTCTACACCACGAAAGCGAAATGAACCAATCAAGCCATGGGATTTGCGGAACGGTTGTTGTGGTGCAATAGGACTGTGGGTACAGGATGCCTGGATGAGTGATGTTGAACGTCTGATTCCATTTGGGTACCTGCGCCTTGAGTCATTGCAAGTACTAGTACTTTGGTGAATGCCGGGCGTATAGAGTAGGAGGGTACGGGATTATCGTCCCAGCGAGGCGCTGGTTGATGACAGACGCGACACGGTGAGAAGCAAACTAAAGATGAGGCCTAAGGAGCGTTTCAAGTTGGGCGGATTATTGAATAGATTCCGCGTGGGTGTTCCTCCGAATGAATCCGGTGAAGAACCCAAAAAGGAAATGTGATGCGTGACAGAAGCATTCGTCGATCGTTAGTGGAGGGAAGAGACAGACGACGGGTCACGCCTCCCTTGTGCTGGCATGCGACTCTCTCTCGTTCATATACAAGCAGCCCTAGGCAGACAGAGCGCATACACCTCCGTCCGCCCTTGGCTGCCCTTCCCTTCTCTCTTTCGTACCATCAACACTATGGCCACACCTGCAGAGGACATCCAGCAGCCCCAGTCAGCACTCACCAAGGACCCATCCATCCACGCAAAGGTCATCGATGGCACAGCTGTATCAAAGTGAGTACTCAACAACCGCTATAGAGCGCATATATGCTCATCACACGACTAGGTCAATCATCGCTAGCGTCGTCGCACGCATCAGTCAGAAGCAGGCGAGGTTCTCCTCATTCCAACCACGTCTCGCCATCGTACAACGTGGAGCTCGTGCAGACTCGGCTGTCTACGTCCGCATGAAGGCAAAGGCTGCGGCCGAGTGTGGATTCGCGTTCACCCACATCCACCTCCCCGCTGATGCGACCGAAGCAATAGTCACCCAAGAGGTCCAACAGCTCAACGATGATCCCAAGGTATCTGGTATCCTCGTCCAGCTCCCACTTGGCGAGGGTATCGACGCTGAGGGAGAACGCCGCGTCACCGAAGCGATTACGCCCGAGAAGGACGTCGACGGCTTCCACGCCCACAACATCGGCAAACTTGCTTCGCGTGCGTCCGACCCACTCTTCCTCCCTTGCACCCCTGCTGGTGTGATGCGTCTCCTTGATGAGGCAAAGGTAGAGATCGCGGGTTCTCGCGCGGTCGTCCTCGGACGTAGCGATATCGTTGGCAGCCCCGTCGCAGCCATGCTCAGGCGGCGGGATGCGACCGTCACCCAATGCCACAGCCGTACCAAGGGACTCGAGTCTATCGTACGTAATTTCTTGGCATGCCGCAAGGGTATTTGTTGAGCAAGAACGGGCTGCTAGATTAAGGAAGCTGATATTCTCGTCTGTGCAATTGGCAAGGCCGAGTTCGTCCGCGGCGAATGGCTCAAGCCCGGAGTCGCGCTCATCGACGTCGGGACAAACTATATTCCAGGCGAGTGTGAATTCCTTTCCCCGCCGTCATTCTTCTGACGTATTCTGCGCACAACTAGACCACACTAAGAAGTCTGGTCAGCGTTTGGTGGGTGATGTACACTTCGCGTCCTGCGCGGTCGTCGCTGGATACATCACCCCGGTCCCTGGTGGGGTAGGTCCGATGACGGTAGCCATGTTGATGGAGAACACGCTTGTTGGTGCTGAGCGCCAGTGGGAGGCTGAGCGCAACCGCAAGGTTATCCCTCTTCCTCTCGATCTGCTTGAGAAGGTACCCAGCGATATCGAGATCGCAATGGCGCAGACCCCGAAGCAGATCACCAAGCTTGCCCATGAGATTGGTGTCCTGCCTTCCGAGCTGGAGCCTTACGGTTCGTACAAAGCGAAGATTGACCTCAGCATTCTAGACCGTCTTGCTTCCCGCAAGAACGGCAAGTATGTCATTGTCGCCGGTATCACCCCTACCCCACTCGGTGAGGGCAAGAGCACAACTACGATCGGGCTGGCGCAAGCGATTGGCGCACACCTCGGGAAGCCTAGTTTCGCCTGTGTGCGTCAACCCAGTCAGGGTCCTACGTTCGGTATCAAGGGTGGAGCAGCCGGTGGAGGATACTCCCAAGTCATTCCCATGGACGAGGTGAGTGGATTCTCCACTCTTCCCGTCGGCGCGGTGGTGACAGTGACCTCCAGTTCAATCTCCACTTGACCGGTGACATACATGCTGTCACAGCCGCCAACAACCTCTTGGCCGCCGCGCTCGACGCACGTATGTTCCACGAAGCCACCACCCCTGACAAGTCCCTGTACACGCGTCTCGTGCCTACTAAGAAAGGTGTGCGTGAGTTCGCCCCGCTCATGCTGAAGCGTCTGGAGAAACTCGGCATTAACAAGACCGACCCGAATGATCTTACACCCGAGGAAGCGCGCAGGTTCTCTCGACTGGACCTGGATCCTGAGACCATCACCTGGAATCGGGTGCTTGATGTCAACGATCGTTTCCTGCGCAAGATCAAGATCGGCATGGCCGATACGGAGAAGGGCCACGAGCGGATCACTGCCTTCGACATCTCTGTTGCTTCTGAGACCATGGCCGTCTTGGCTCTCACCACCGATCTGGCAGACATGCGTGAGCGCCTGGGGAAGATGGTCGTCGGTACGAGCACGCAGGGCGATGCCGTCACCGCGGATGACATTGGTGTCGGTGGAGCCTTGACAGTGCTAATGAAGGACGCGATCAAGCCCAACATGATGCAAACCCTGGAAGGCACACCCGTGTTCGTCCACGCTGGACCTTTCGCCAATATCGCTCACGGCAACTCGTCCATTCTTGCTGATCGCGTGGCACTCAAGCTTGCTGGTATAGACGAAGGAGACGATCCCTCCCGCGTTGGGTACGTCTTTACCGAAGGTGGGTTCGGTGCGGACATGGGTCTGGAGAAGTTCTGCAACATCAAGTGCCGTGTGAGCGGGCTCGTTCCCGATGCAGCCGTCATCGTTGCCACCACCCGTGCGCTCAAGATGCACGGCGGCGGGCCGGAGGTCGTCCCGGGCAAGCCTCTTGCGGATACGTACACCAAGGAGAACCTGAAGACCCTCCATGAGGGGACGAAGAACCTTGGTAAGCATATTCAGAACACAAAGAAGTTTGGGATCAAGGTCATCGTTGCCATCAACCAGTTCACGTGAGCACTGAACAGTGACCTTCCTCTTCCTTGTCTGACGCGCTCCTCAGAACTGATACTCCTGCTGAGATCGAGCTCGTTCGTAAGGCTGCCCTGGAGTATGGTGCCGATGCTGCGGTCGCTTCCAACCACTGGGCGCAAGGCGGTCTGGGAGCTATTGATCTCGCCAAGGCCGTTGTGGATGCTTGCGAGTCTGGCGAGCCGGACTTCAAGTTTACTTACCCGCTTGACATCCCCATTGCCAAGAAGATCGAGGCGATCTGCAAAGACGTTTACGGTGCTGATGGGATTGAGCTTAGTGAGCTTGCCTTGAAGCAGATCGAGACGTACACTGCTCAGGGGTACGGGAACTTGCCGAGTACGTCCTCGAGAGTTGCCTTGGATTTTGTTGCTGAAACTGTTGCGCAGTTTGCATGGCCAAGACCCAGTATTCCTTCTCTCACGATCCCAAGCTGAAGAACGTACCGACGGGCTTCACGGTGCCCATCCGTGCTGTCCGTCTCTCTGCTGGTGCAGGTTTCTTGTATCCTCTCCTTGGTGACATGCAGACTATGCCTGGTCTCGGAACCAGGCCCGGCTTCTGGGAAGTCGGCCTCGACGTGGCGACTGGCCGTGTTGTTGGCCTTTTCTGAGCTCAACGCTCTCTCCCACGTTCATATTCCCTCCCACTTTTTTACGACAGTGTTTCCTCACTTTCTTGGATAGACGTGGTAAAAGGGTGCCTTCAACAGGTCTAATCTGGTCGTTCAACCGCATTGTACTGTATACCATTCAACAGCTATACGATAGACATAGAGAACAATAGTAGCATAGCCTTTTGCATCGTTCCATTTCGGTGACTCGCTGGCGTGCTCGCCGCTTTGGCCTTGAGCGGCACGACCCTTGTCGCCGCATTCCTCGCGCTTTCGACGCGGACACCACCGACCTGCATCGACCATCATGTCCAACGGAACGCCGTCCTCAACATCATTGAAGATCACCATAAAACGACCGCCATCAGCGCCGTCTAACCCTCCCCCTGCTGGGAACTCTCCCGCTCCTGCCTCCGACAAGAAGCGCAAACGCGTAGCAGAGGACGATGGTGCGGAAAACGGGGACACGCCACCGGTCAAGCGCTCTACACGCGATGGTGAGACCCGTCGAGCCAAACGTCAGTCAGCGAGGATTCAGTGGACTCCCTCGCCTCCTGGAGAGGACATAGAAGAACAAATTACAAGCAAGGGAAAGCGGCGGAGGAAAGCGTACGAGGAAGATGGAGACTATGACCCGGATCGTCTCTCCCCAGCTGGATCAGCGGTCCTTGATGTCGAAGGCGGGGTGGACGAGGAACCGCCTAGGAAGAAGCCTGCTATCGATCCTCCTGTTTCGTCTACGCCGAGTGGGAGATCGAAGCGAAAGTCGAAGCCGACCGCGAAGGTGCCAACGTGGATTGATGACGACGAAGACGACTTGACACCACCACCACCGACACCACCACCGCGAAATCCTAAGCCCGCTAAAGGTCGAGGGAGGACATCGAATGCTGCTCCTATTACTGCCAGAGATCAGAGGAAGCTGCCGGTGGGGAATGTCAGCCAAGGGGAAACTGCTGTAGATGCGGTCTCCGGAACAAACACAACGGACGCCATAGCGCCAGTTCCCCCGACGGCACCGGCCGACCCACCCAAACCCAAGTTGCCTCCTATTAAGAAGAAGTCGATGATGGGAGGCACTCCTACGACGAATGGCGCCTCGTTGCCTGGGCGAGATGAGACGAAGACACCTGTGTCCACGACGAAGGCGAATGACATGTACAATCAACTATTTTCGGTTAGTCTTGTGTTGTATTTTTTGATATCATCTGACTGCTTTTTAGGGTACCAGCAGTCGAGCACAGAAAGAGTGAGCTCTCGCTTGAAATTTGTCGAGAAAAGGGTGCTGACTCGGTTCAGTCGTGAACGGCAGGACGCCCGACGTCAAGAATTAGAAGGTATGAGAACAGACGCACGCATCGAGCGGGAACTGGAAGCCGTAAGTCAACCTTAACCTATCGCGTGGAAATACTGACATATGGGTTTTTCTGCAGAAGAACACATTTGACATGCTCGCGCATAGTGCGGCCATGAATCGCTTCGAGGTACGATGCCGCTACGTTTCTGTCTAGCAGGCTAACAATCATCATCAGAGTCGATTGCGGGACCGACGCAACTGGCCCAGTCCCTCCCAAATCGGATCTGCGTTCTTGATGCTAAAGCGGTATCGGCCTGATCTGCCGGACACGACGAAGACTTGATGTATATGACAAATGTAAAGGACCGGCATGTTGATGAGAGTTGAGCAGTGAGAAGTGGTCGCCGATCAAAGGTGCATTGAGCCATGTATGTTATCAATCCCCTTTGGCACGAGATTTTAGATCGAGGTGGTATTCTGGAACCGATACCCTCTGAGCATTTGAAGTTGGTTGACCCACCCCCTGCACGTGCCACATCTAGCAAAACGCATGATGAGAAGACCCAGTACTCCCAGCGAAGATGACGCCAGACACGGGGATGAATGGACCTGTCATCAGGAACGAGGGGCAACAACTCACATTGCGCAGCTGTTCACGCTACCACGTTAATCCCAGTCGCAACACAGAATCATGGACTTGCTCCATTCTGGACCCACATCTTCCTTGCAGTCGCCGCAATTTAATTGTTCACCTCCGAGTCTCCCATTGAGGCCTCTATCCTGTGCACAAAAACTGCGATCTTCGTCTGCAATTCTTCGTCGTCACACACACACCCCAATGTGACAACCCTTGCAGAAAGCACTTTCTGAGCACAGCCCCATACCTCAGTTGCATGGGCGCTTATTTCCTGCACAGGATCCGACGCAATTTAAGTGACATGAATGAGAACTACATAATTAACTTCTTTTCATATTACCGCATTGGGATTGGAAGGGAAGTGGACAAAACAGCCCGCCGTCTACTCTGACTGGCATGCGCTTAGGCAGACGCACACATACCGCACACTCCTTCAGGTGCTGGAACAGTCACGGGAGAACAGTTGAACTAAGGGTAGTGACGAACAGCAAAACCATGATACAGGGCGTTTCCTCTTCCTGTCCAATGTTATTTTGTTCAAGTTCAAGCGGAGTGTGGAATCTACTGGTGGTAGCGAGTAAAGCTGACCCCTTCCGGAGCACTGCAATCGTCAAATCTCAGTTGGCCTACCGACTCATTCGTACATTTAGAATGTGGGGCCTTTCCACTACTCGGCTTGACCAGTCTGCTCTGTACCGTATCTCATCTGCCACTCATCAGCCGCTTCAACATGTGTTCATCGTGTGCCCGTTCCAGGAACCCGTCTCGCTTGACAGAGCTATGCCATCCAATCTCTCCTGTATCGTTGAGAGAAACGGGGTATCGGGCCTTCCCTGCTCCTCCTGACCATTCGAAATCGACCAATCTTGCGCGCCAAGTCTTGTCCTCCTTGACGCACATAATGTTCAGTTCCCTCAGATCTCCATGAACGAGGCCAGAGGCGGCTAGGTGTTGAACAGCTCGACTGAGATCGTTCAGAACCGAGTCTTTCCCTTCCGACGGCACTTCAACAAACGGCTTTCCATCAACATGATCCATCACAATAAGCCAGAAGCTGTCATGATAGACCTGCTTGGCGTGAAATAAGGCGGGAGCAAGTCCTGCCTTCGCAAGCAGTTCGTGTGCCTCGACGCCATACGTGTGACTGAATTTCACGACACATCGTTTGGAATCGAACTCTGTTACGG